AATCCTAAACTTTTACCAAGGCTGCTGCTGGCAAATCTAGTGTACAAAGCAAATGTGTTTGTTAAATGGTGCTACATATGATGGAGCTCTGCAATAGCTTTGTCAATGTCAAGTTCACATTGCCCTCGCTTCTTGATTTCTGTGCTGGTTACATGTTTTAGGTGGAGTGCATTGGTAATCTGGATGATACGAAAATGTGCATAGTGTAGCAATATTTGTTTATGTTTTCATGACAGCCTAAACCCCTAAATTAACAGTACTGAGGAAATAGACAATAGATACTATTTCATTGTAGGTTTGGATTCATAGATTAGGTGGTGAAAAGTCTGATACCTTATTAGTAGTATTGATTGGTTGGCCTTACCCTAACATGAGTAAACTGGTTCTCTTGCAGAAAGATCATATATATCTGAAAGATGACAATAAAAGCCAGTAAGATAATGCAAATCTCCTCTGAATTCAGGTCTAGGACTGGAGGTAGGGGGAGGGAGTATCCCACAATAAGAATGGAGAAGCTAACCTAGAACTCTGTGCCAGTGGAGATTCTGCCGATGAAGCTGAACCTATCACAGGAATAATTCCCATCAATAGCAGGATTTCCTATCATTTGCATGAGAGCAGCATTAGGCCCTTAGTCTCCTCAAGCAGTATGTTCTAAGGTAGACTTTGCACTGCTAGAGGATTTCCAGAACACAAATTCATAGCAGATAGCATCATAAAAGGAAGGGGAAAAGGAAGACTGATCCTACCAAAGCATTGCTTAGAAATGTGGACAAAGGCAAGAGAAGGAATTCAACTGTATCCTCCAGACGTACTGTGGAAGTGGAATTTCCCTTTACGCTGTCATACACAATAAGGATAAGGGCCTGTGTGTGCTGCAGATAACCCACCTTGCGCCCTGTGAACTTTGCCAGGTGTCAGGAGGACTATTCCAGATGTTGCTGGTGGGCCTGGGGAGAGAGGAGGTTGCAGAGAAATGGATGGCTTCACTGGGGGCAAAGCCAGATAGGCTATTGCTAATTGGTGGAGACTGATGGTAGGCTTTTTAAAAGAATGTGTAATAGAAACAGGGAGTTCTTTCTCCTAAAGTTTTGGCAGAGGATGGTAGTGAAATCCCACAGGAACAGGAGGGTTTTGATGACAACTAGACTGGGACAATAAAACTGACCTATTTGGATTTTGAGAAATGAAGAATTTAAAACATTTCTGCTTTTGGTCTACCTCTAACTATGGTGGTGCTCTGTAATAACTTGCATTTCAGACGGCAATGTTAGAGCAGAAGAATACTCTTTCCTCTCCACTGGTCTTTTGGAAAGGTCCCCACACAATTTCTGCAGTGCGTCCCAGGTAACCATGCTTGCCTTTTCTCTAAAATACCAGTCATTTTTCACTATAAGTTCCGGACCCTTTAATGGATGATACTTGATAACACTTTCACATGCAGCTCCTAATCTTTTGTAAGACAGTTTTGCTGTCTATCTCACACAAAAATACTTGTCTGGAGAAAAGTCTGCCAGAGTGTCCACCCAGCTGCTTGACTCTTTCTGGTTTAGTGATTGAAAATCTTTACTTGGATATACTCAGAGTACCAAAACTGAAGTGTAGGCAGTGTTAACACCTGCAATGGATGGCTAAGTTTCCCCTCTGCCCTTCCCCTGTCTTTTCCCAGCCCTGGAAAACTGTTGAACTGTTTCAGTTCCTGTGAATGTTTGTGAGCTTTAACTAGTACCTAGGAGGGCTGGGCCCCAAATCTTCTCACTGCCTGCCCAACAGGCAGCGTATAGCAGCATACGTACAAAATAGACCCATGGCACAAATAACATCCATCTCAGAAGTATGTTACAGAGAGAACTTAGAATATTCAGCAAAATCTTACATTCAAAATATAGCTAGTTCCACACTTATTGACGCATTTGAAATTCAGATCAAGAGTGAAGCTCAGGTTCTCATTGAATGAGAGGGCTAATTTGTATTCTTGCACTGAAGAACTGTAAACAGGTTCTTCACAATTTTTTATTTTTCTATTTCAAGATCAGACTCATTGCAGAATTTAGGAGGGAGGTGGCACATGCATTGGTGAGTGATGTGCATTCATTTTGCACATCATTATTCCCAGCGTTAGTCCTGTTGGTGGGAGTCCTGGGTTTGCAGTGGGCTTTGTACTTGGGCAGAGGACAGGCCCTGGAGCAGGATGCCTGCAAGTTTCTTGGCAGCAGAAATGATGGCTCCTGATCATGACTGTGGCACCAGAGTCTTGTCTGCTTTCTGTGTTTGCAGTGGAAATATACCTGCATAGGCCCTTCGAATGGAGTAGGGTGCTGAACTGAAGTCCACAGATGGATCAAGCAAACTCTCATCATGGATCAAACTAGTATCCAGCTCTGGATTTGCTAAAGTCTGTTCTGTAGTCCAAATTCTGATAAGCTCTTCAAAGGCATGTGTGGGGAATTGTTTTACCTTAGTGATTGTGAGCTGGGCATCTCTCCGTCCTAGCAAATCTCCGGTTTACACAAATAATCACTGTCTGCTGTGTTCTAGGGTAGAAGGGAAACCGGTCATGTCAGGGCTAAACTTTGAGGGATTTTTGATTTGTAAACCCACGAGGATAACAAAGGGAAAGCCACTTGATTTTAAAAAAATACACCAAAATATTTTCATGGCCAACAAATTTCTCACAAAGGCAGAGAACCTCTTATTTTCTTCTTGGCACTGGCATTTGAAACTCTGAATTAAACTTCTAGAACCTGAGCAAAAAAAAATTATTATGCATGCATGACAAAAATAACCATGATGATTCCTTACAGAAAGCTCAGCTGCTAGACATAATCAGTTACCTCTATTCTGTGAACCTCTGCTTTTTTAGAAAATAGAAAGTATTAGCTGGCCTGATTTAAGCCTGTAGTTCTGTAGACATTTACCCTGACAAAAAAAAAAGATTTTTTAAAAAGTTTTTCTATTTTTCATTTGAAATACTAATTGAAGTAATTGATTTACAGATGTACAGTGAAGTCCTTTGTTCCATAAGTGCTATAGAGGACCTTCTGAACCATCCCCAGTGTTTTTTACCTATATCCTGTTTTCAGTTCTGTTTCACTCAACAGAGGCAGGATGCAAAGCAAACATGGCAACAAACCTGGTAACTGTTTGGGTGGAACTTTCTCTGCCTAAGCTGCCTCTTTAGCACTGAGCCCTGCATCTAGTGCTCTGCAAGCTGCAGATTGCTGAGTGACATGTAGCTATTTCATGGCATAATTTCAGGGTTAGCATCTGTTTTAAAATGTTTAAGAACTAGTTTTATGATTTTATGTTAAAGAGCAAACCTTTGGGAAATACTTCTTGTTGCAATGCAGTGCAGCTGTAGAACTCCGAAAAACAAAGGCCCTTTTTGTGGACAAAGCA